TAAGACACTATGACTAAGAAATATCCTGAAACTTTGATACATTTCAGTAGAGTGTTAATGATTTCCAATGGCAATTATGAATCTAGGGTTTTACTTGTTTGTTTGTCTCATGTGTTCCTAAAAATGTCCAGACACAGTGCGTTTCTGACCTACCATTTTCTTGGGCTGGGAATAGAGCAGCCACATGCTTCCCTAGGAGTTGAAAGCTGAGCTGTATTTAGCTAACCACATATTTTAAAGACACAATCTAAGTACAGGTACAGGGGGGGAGAAAGGAGGACAGAAATAGAGATTCATCCTTGCCAGTTAGCCTCCAAGTTTGGTGTCTCACTATAAGACAGTATGGCTAGGGGCTGGGGATTTAGCTCAGCGACAAAAGCGCCTGCCTGGCAAGCGCAAGGTCGTGAGTTCAGTTCCCGGTACCAGAGAAAAACCAAAAAAAAAAAAAAAAAAAAGACAGTATGGCTGTATGACCAGGGGAATCACCTAAGGCACTTGTTAAAAATCCAGATTCTCAGGTTCCACCAAAGAATTACTGACACAGAAATGACAGGGGAGACACCTGGGTATCAGCAGTAACCCCTTCTGTCATCAGAAGACACGTTCAGCAGCTCTAGTACATGCTAAAACTGCTGAGTACTGAACCCTTGATGGACTATGTTATACATACTTATAATAAGGTTTAATTTATAAATTAGACATAGTAAGAGATTAACAAGTAAGAATAAAATAGAGCAATTATAACAATAGATGTGCTATAATAAAAGTTATATGAACATGGTTGGTTTCTCTCTCTCATAGGATTCAAGACAAACACTACTACTATTTTTAGACCACAATTGACCTCAGGTAAGTGAAACTGTGGAACTACTCTCTATATATTTACATGACACCTGGGTATTTTATTATCAGGAAACTTGTAATGGTGGTCAAAGATGTGAACTTGAGAGTTGTCATTACTGGGTTTTACTAAACAGGAAACATAATTTAACTTCTCAGAGGGCGAGCTTCCTCATCTGTCCAGGAGGAATAATAATAGCTACTTATAAGGTTACTGAGACCGTGTCTGGTCGAGGTTTTGGAAAAAAGAGTACCTAAAAAAGAACTTTTCTAATGACTTCCCGAGCCAAGACAGCTAAATGTGTGATCTCTAAGAGCTGCATGTTATTGTGGAGCTTCCAGGAACAAGAAAACGGGAGAGGGCCCTGTCACTCAGCAAGCAGGATGAGTCGGAGGTGGCTCTTCATAGTTGTCGCAAAGTGTGCTGTGTTCTCGGGTGAAATTGAAGATTACAGCAGGGCTGGAGAGGGTCGGACACATGATTACCACATGGCTAGTCAGGCTGCAGGGCAGAGGAGTTTAAGAACCAGAGTATGAATTTCAGCTCCAACACTAATAATTAAAATGGGTAAGTTTTTAAAAATTCCCTGAGCCTTAGTTGCAGTGTTTATATAAACAAGGATAACACGTATTTTATGTGGGCTTTTAGGCCACTGTGGTGATCCAATCAGATAATATAGGTGGGATTTTCATTTTGAAACAAGACTTTGGTTCTATAATAAATGCTTGTTCAACAAAATATACTCTCTCCCAAATATAGTTTTTACAAAGTTTTCCCTATAACCTGCCCATCCAAAACAATAAATGGAATTTTTCTTTAGAGTTGTAGCATTAACATTTGTAGTTGGGTTTCTTTATTTGGATAAAATTTTTTTTTTTGCCTTTTTATGTTTTGATTAAAGGTATATGCAGTTTTGCATCTTTTAAATTTAGTAATATCACATAGGTACTTTGCATCATTAAAATGGCCATCCAAGACCAACATTAACTTAGTCTTCCATTATTGAACTTTCCCTTTGGTAAAAACCTTGCACCATCCTCAAATTCACCATCATGTACATCCAAAATATATACTTACTATTCTTTTCTTTTGAAGTCATTTTCAGAGAATGTGGAATTACTGAGTCAGTGCCACATGATTCCAATTTGTAAGATGTTTTTTAAAATCATAAAATGCTGTGCAAATGTGAGGGCTGCTTACAGCTCATATTTATCAAGTTCGTACTGCAGTGGGCACAGAATCGCACCACGTGCCTTGGGAATAACTCACAGAGCATCCAGGAATCCTTAGTCCTAAAGATACTAATACGTTAATAAGGACGACAGAGATGAAATCAGCAGAAACCTAACCTTCCAAGAGCTCTCCTTTTGGGCTGGACAATGACATCTCCATAAGTAATGACCAAATAAAGCCTCAGGCCAACCGGGAAAGATACTACAGCTCTCTGTGCCTCTTTTTCAATCTGAAAATGAGGGGCTGAGACCGCCTCTTAGGTCTTTCTAGTTCTGAAAATTATGTGATTCTGTCCCACACTGTGGCCTATGTCTTTGGTTGAGGTTTCTAAATAGCTCTACGCTACATGTGTGTAAGATGATAAAGATCAGACTGGGCCCAGAGCAGGTGACTGTCCTGGCTGCATCCTCTGAACTGGGGACAAACTCCTACTGGGGATCATTTGTCTAGAAAGGGCACATTTGATCTTCAGGCTGTTTGGTCCAAGATCCTGCAGTGCCAAAGCAAGGCTCGGTGTTTACATGGGGTACGTGTCTCTTTATGGACATCTGCTTCTTTTGCTGGCTGTGGGAGTGATGAATCCTAAGTAATTCACCTAAATAAGTAAAACTGACTTTAATTCATCAATGAATGAAAGAAAAGGAAAACATCGTCAAGGCCTAAAATGAAGATGCTTTCATGTCCCAAATGTAAACAAAACTAGAATATCTTATTCCACTGACTAAACTATATTGAGTCATAGAAATGGGTCATAGGAATGACTTCAGTATTACTTTTGCCTTTAAAATACATGAAACAGGGCAACTCAGTCTGTGAAAGTATTAAATTTGAGCCTATGTTCAAATGCCTAACATTTCATTTCCGTTACGATGGAGGAGGTATCCAAATATTGCTTCAGTAATTTCTGTAAATATTATTATTATGCCAGTCTTTTAACTCAAATATGATACCTTGCTCTCCATGTGGTTCATTCGCTCTCTTGGTTTTTTTTTGAAGAAAATAAAAGAAGACCCCAGTCATTCCGATCTCACTGACTTCTTAGAGATGGAGGTGCCGGGTTGGACTGAGACAGCTCTATCTTCTCCATTTTGTGCCACCCATTTTTCTCCTTGAATTTCAGTTTCTGCATAATGGAAACAAAGAGCTGAGTTTGATGCTTGGTAACTAGCTCTCACCCTTTCTTGATGCTCTATTCTTGCTGTTGAGTGGAGCTTGGGCTGAGATATTCCTTGTAGCTAAGAAAATAAACAAGTACCAGCAAAGTTACAGAAATGAGTGGACAAAAGCACTCTTTTTTGCCACTGATATGTGTCTCTGTTTCCGTGTCCTTTATTTCATGTTTGTCATATCTTCTACTAAAAGTAAAGTGGTTTTCCCTGTTTTTACCTTTGGGCTCAGCCCTATGACTTCGGACATTCCCAGTCATGCTGACCTAGTAGTGGCTTGAAATGTGCTCTTGTGGTTGTGCTTGTCAAGTTAGGTTTCTTCTGCTTTCTTGGCGTTACTCTAGGCTGATCATGCTCTGGCCGGCCTGCTGGCCTTAGGAAGAGGATGAGGGAGCCACATGGGTACAGACATCTCAGCTTCTGTGGCCAGTGTCGGTCCCCTCCAGTCTACCCACACATGTATCAGCAATAGTAAATGACTGTCGCTTTAAGCCGCCAAGCTTTGGCATGGCTCATTATGCACATTATATAGCAATGCTAGCTAATAAAAAAAGCAGATACTGTTGTAGAAAAGAGCCCACATTTGCCTAGAAAAAAAAAACACCAAATATAAATTATCTTTGCTGTAAAATATAGTCATTAAGACTTCCTATGCAGTAGTCTGCCTGAAGCGGGTTGTTACTGCCGTGCGCATGAGCTCCTCTGGGCCCTGGTTTCCTCATCTGTGGAGCGGGGTACCTGTGCAAGTAGATGTACTGAGGATATGCATGAGTTCACACAGAAAGCATGGAATGCACTGCCTGCATCTCAGTGCTGGAGAAAGAGCAGCTGCTAAGTAGCCTAGAAAGCTGTAAGTTCCTTTGGAACTTGCACTGAATACTACAACATTCGGGCGCCTACCTAGAAAAAATAATATAGAGACATATAATCAGTTGTGCCGGGCAAGTATTTTCTCACCCAAAAGACATAGCACCTGGAGGGGAAGATTGGTTTATGGTCCTGCTAGAAAATATAGCTGCTGTGAGCATTTGAGTAAAGTCAAATAATTTAATCCTTCTTTACTGCTCTTTAGATCCTTCTGATTTTTACAGACATTTCCCACCAATACTATTACATTATTAGCCCCTTTCTGACCCCAAATAATCTCCATTTTGTTGTTGTTGTTGTTGTTGTTGTTTTCCAGTACTGGGAATTGAACTCACGACCTTGTGCTTGCCAGGCAGGCGCTGTGCCACTGAGCTAAATCCCCAGCCCCATAATCTCCATTTTTAATGAAAAATGAGAAGGTCTGGAGCTGAGAGATTCTTTGGGAAGCAACAATTGTTTTGATGGTTATTTTGTACTGGCAATAAGTGTTTTTTCTTGTTTGCTTATTTCCCTTTATGGGAGTGATATAAACTATCTGTTTTAAGTAAATTTATTTCAGTTTTTAAAAGAAATCTGAAAAAGAAAATTAGGGAAAATATCATAAAAGTGATGTTTGGAAATGACAGAGTTAATAAATACCTGACTGATTAAAGCAGGAATGAAATGAAAACTAAAAATTTTATTTGGTTTGCTAAAGCATTCACTAATTCCGACTTGATACTAGTATTGATTTGTTCTATTCTCATCCCTGAAATTGGCAGTGTTACTGGTCTATAAGCATAAGGAACACTTCTAAAAAATCAGCATAACATTTTTCATTTCAACACCAAGGGCACTGACAACTAGCCCCTTTTCAATAGTCTGGAAAGAAAAAAAAAATACAGGATTTCTGTTTTCCAATTTTATTGAAGTCGGCAGGAACCATCTGCACACATACCAGACATACAGGGTGACACCCATGACTCTAAATAGGTTGGCAAATTGTACTGAGTGTGTCTTTGTGTCTACAATTATCAATTTCAAATCCAAGGAAAATGTGCATAGAACAGAATCGGAGAGCGATGGTGCCGTCTCTCCTCTCTCCGTGGAAACAGTCATTGTTCAAGACCAATTAGCATTACTGGTGGTCGCTTCTTCCTGAGGGTTACACTCCAGTCTGGGAGCATCTGCTGTACATTTTTCATTTCTTTCTCATTTTGAGCAATTTGGTTCCTAAGCTCCGTTTCCTTGTGGCTTCCTGGAGCTCTGATGACAAACCACCACACTTTGTTCCTGTCCTTTCAGGCCCTGAAGGGCACCAAAGAACACACGAAATTTGTTTCTAATTTTGTGTCTGCCAAAACATTCCTGGGGTAACAATACAAGCCTATAAAAATAAGATGCACCATCCCTCTAATTCCACAAAATAAACAAATCCAAAAGGAAATCAAACACAGTTCTTGAAAATGCAGCATAAATATTTTTAACCCATTCTCCCTTTTCTAAGCTGGTGAAAACTTGTTCCTGAGTAATGATTGAGATTGCATACTTATTCTTTTATGTTTACAGAAAAAATTCATGACGTAAGCAAATGAAAAGCAACACTAAGGCTTTCTCTTCTGAGCTTCACGTTTTGTAAATGAAATCCCTAAGGACAGTCTAAGAGAATGTGGAGTCCAGTTTCCTCACTTGTGTTAGGAGTTTTATTTTTAACTTAAGTATTCAAAAAAAAAAAAAAAAAAAAAAAAAAAAAAGCTGTTTGCCATGTATCCTTACCCGAAGTTGGAGTACACAGAGGCAGAGACACAAAACAGAATCATCTTTCCATTTTCGTTTGTAGATAGTTCAGGGTAAGTTAGAGTTCTGAATTTCTGAATCTTGGCCAAGGTGATGTCATTAAATCTAATGAAAACAGTATCACTGAGAGAATTAATTCATTATGGTGGAATTAAGTTAAATCCTTTATGATGTGCCATTAAGCACCCTACTAACTTGCTTGCATCAACCTGAGTGAAGCACATTGAAATACAAAGATGAAAAATAAAGTTCCAATCTCAAACCTTGTACAATATTAAGAAACTTTCAGAGTTAAAGTCATTTAACAATTAAAAATATTTATAAATCTCATGGTGTTCAGCATCTTATGATGCCTTATATGTTACAGAGGCCAAATACCTTGTGGTTTGTATGACATCTTTGCCTGGGGGAGTAGAATTTGTGGTATAAATCATTATTATATATGTTGTAAATGTTTTTGCCTTGTTACTTAGTTCCTACAACAGCCAAAACAGCACAGGAATTCCTTAACATTCAATTAATTCTCAAAATATTGTTAAACTTGGTCCAGATATGATAAATCAGCATTGCCAGACTTGGAAGCAACTTGGTCAATATTTTCAGAACAAAAAAAAAAAAAAAATTTTCAGAACATTTCTAATTTCTAAATTGACCATGTAATCAAGAAATATTTATTTTGTTAAGTTCTGCAGAGAGAAGTAAATAAAGAGAATGTTTTCCCTGTGCTTTGAGATTTTACAAGTTCCATCCAGAGCCATAACATAGTCACGTAAAAAACTATTGCCTAGAACCTACCTGCCTACAAGAGAAAGAGCCACATACCTATTAGCCAGATACTTATAAGGAGCTATTTTTGCTTCTGACACCAAATTTCTGCTGAGTCCAGGGAAACTCCTCACTTCCTCTTTATATCCTGCTCACCACATACTTATCTAGGATAATGACTGCTTATGGAAGGGGACGGGTGTCTTAGAGGAAAAAAGAATTACGATGGTATTCAACATGAAAACTTGCATATTAATAATTTTTTTAAATAAAGGTTTCTGCTTCAAAAATTAGGTCATTTCATACAGTGAAACAACATGCAATCTCAGAAGATAACTAAAAAAAAAAAAATCACAATTTGTGTTCAAAGCCTCTTACTACTGACATATGGCTGTTAAGTGAAATTTCCTGAGCTCAGTAAAATGACTTGACAATTGACTGCGTATAGTTTTTCTTGAAGCTGGCTGTCAAAAAAAGTTGTCGCCATCATGCCCTATCATTAACGATGACCAGCCAAGCTTTTTGTCTGTAAAGCTTGTCAGAACCCATCGCTGGCTGTGCAAGACTTTTCTCCTATCATCTTACAAAAAAATAAATTTCATTTTTGCAGATTGGCTTTCATTCAAACACACATTACCCAAATTCTTGAAATCATAAAAAGAATTCTGAGGCCTGCCCAATGAGCTGCCTGCTTTATACAATATTGATAGGACAACCCCTGGGCAACAAAAGAATTGTGATAGTGCCTTGGTTTTCTTTGTAATGGGATTTGAGCAGGATCAGGAAAAGCATGTATTTATTTTTTATTTATTTCAACTGTGTAGTCTATTTGCTTCTTAAAGGTTTTGAGATGGCTTGCAAAAACAAAATAAACAAATAACAAAACCCCCCATATACATCAAGATAGGTACAAACATAAAAATGAAATGTTTTAAAAGTAAAAAAGACAATAATTAAGTATATGATTAGCTTAGACAAATACCTGCTGCTCTCGTTGAGTATTAAATGAATTGAGATGTAGCATTTCCTATTCAAGAAACAAGCAGGATAGAAAACTCGGCTGGTTCCCCACTAAAGCTTACCAGTTGTTTTGTTTTCAGCTGGCATTCATTTCAATTGGTAGCTGTTCATGCTGTACTAGATATTAAATACTTTTTTCTCACCACTCCAGCAGGCAAGCTGAGAATAGGCACAGAAGAAATTGTAGTAGTTTTCAGAATTTGTGTCCTGTATTCCCAGCAGCTATATCACCTGCAGCATTCCGTTAATATGTATTTGAAATACACAAAAAACATATTCATGTTTTCCCTTTCAGCAACTGCCTGCTAAGTGCCCTCTATCAGCAAAAGGAGGCAAGGACTTGGTCTTTCTTTGGACTCTATTTTCTTCAAAAGGAGAAATGTGTGTAACAGGCCACGACTTGAGTGATGTTTACTAAAAGTCTGATTCTGGTTCCTAGCAGGATTTTTGCAACCACATTTTAAATAACTGGAGGCTCAATTCCAGTCTAGCGATAAAGAGTAGGCAAATGCTCTATGGTGTTTCTCTCAAGTTTGAAATAAAAGGGGTGGGGTGTGGTATGGTGAGGAGCCCATCTTCTTTTCTTTTCTCTAATTTTTCTCCTATCTAAGTTTCCCACTTTGGAAGAGTTCATGGAGCTAATTGTACTATTCCCTTGTGTGAACGAAGGACGAGGTATCTGCTTTCCCTTCAAATTGCTTGGCCCTCAATCAACATCACCATAAAAGTGACATTTGCATATTAAATCCAAATATTTTATTGGTACAGATAAATATGATTTGTAAAAAGAGTCAAATTAACAATCCATTACATACTAATGGGCTCTAATCAATAAGTTTAATTTGACTAAAAGGAGAAGGGCGGGGGAAGAAAAGAGACTCAATTACACCCAAATGGTGCAATTTAAGATTAAAAAGGTGACTGATTTCTACAACTTTCAAGCTGGATTTTGATTTGAGGCTTATAGATTCAAGGCGTGTGTTATATTCAAACTGGGTTTCTGTCTGTGGTTTGCACACTTATATTTCCGATTATCTTTCCTTGAAAAACTTTGCTTTAAATACTTTTAAAAAGCATGGAGAGTTACAAAAGAAAACAAACAAGATCTCAAGTCTTCAGGTTTCTTTTTTAAATAAATAAACCAGTATACCTAAACCGGAGTCTTTTGTCCACTTCCCTATTTCATCCTCTTCTTCCCTTCTTTCTTCCCCAGAGGATGGCTGGATTGAATGCTGTATAATTCTTTCTTGTCTTTGTTTTTGTCTTAATGAATCCTCAAGCCCTACATGCTGCCACTTGATATATTAGTAAAATTCTACAACTTGCTTTTTCTACTTGGCAATCTTATTCATACCTTTTAACTATGACATAATATTCCACTGTATGATTCAGTCATGTTTTACTTTCTTTCCTCCTCCCTTCCTTCTTCCTTTTTCTCCCTCCCTCCCCTTTTTCATTCTGCAACGATGGGCATTTAGGATAAGCCAATTTATTATAGTTATTCTGACATCGGTTAAGAAAAAGGTGCAGGCCCCTTGTTCCCCGCAGTAGATTTCAGGTTTTTGAACAGGCCTCAGCCTGGGAAGATCCTATGGGATCTTCCTATGGGAAGATCTACACCCCTTCCCCCAGGGCTCAATAACAGAAGAACCAAAGTAGAAAAAAGAGAAAAGAAGGGAGGAAGGAAGAAAGGGAGGAAGGAAGGAAGGAAGGAAGGAAGGAAGGAAGGAAGGAAGGAAGGAAGGAAGGAAGGGAGGGAGGGAGGGAGGAAAAGAAAGAAGAAAGAAAAGAAAACAAATCCCTCTTCCTTAGGCATTTGATGCAAAAATCCGCCCACACCAGTGTGGCCCCAGCCCGCAAGACCTTTGAGCACGAAACGTGCCCTTCCCGCCGCTGCCCTCTTTTCTTTTCCAAAGCCTAAATAAAGAAGGCAACAGACAAGGCTTCTCTTTCTGGGCTCTGCCTCTTCAGACGGGCTGTCTGCAGCACATCCATAATCCTGGTGTCAGCCTGCTCCCTAGCGTCGCGCGCCGCGTCCAGCAGCTGACAGCCCAGCGAGCGAGCGCGGCTCAGGGCCTCGGCTGCAGCCGCCTCCCGAGGCAGAGGAACAAAGCCCAGAGGACTATCTCGCTATCTTCTGGGTGGCAAGGAAATCTCAATTATACACCCAGGGGATGTGGTTTGTGAAAAACTAGGAAGAATGTTTAAATTGTATACGTAAATTGTTTTGTTTTACAAGCTGGGGTAAATCAGCACATTTGCAGCCCATATTTATCTGATCCTCCCTCAGTCTCTTTTTGAACGTGTACCATTGATGTGGGGTAGAAGCCTATGCAAAACATAACCGACCCCTAAATTCAATTAGGGCACTGGGGGGATGGAAATTTTGCTTTGGGGTTCGGCATGACTGCTGAGAGCTTCTCGGAATAGTTCCTTGGCTATAACCAAAGATTAAAATCGAGGGATAAAATTTCCAATGTACGTTGCGTACTTGGAATACAGGTTTGGGCTAGCCCTTTTAAGAAAAAGAGGACAAATGAAATGCCCTCTGTTAGCCTGATTTCTTTCTTTCTATCTATCTATCTATCTATCTATCTATCTATCTATCTATCTATCTTCTATCTACATCAATCTATCATCTATCTACCATCAATTTATATCACCTAACCAAGTATTTCACCCCCAGTGTGGCATATTCTCATAGGATAATTAATGTTATGCAAGCAGTGAAAGATGAGAATATTATTCCGTGGGATAAAATGTAAGCTGGAAAAAAATAGCCCAGAAAAAAAAAAATCTCTGCAAACAGTTTTATCTTCATTCAACTCTTGGTAGCCTGACATACCCCAGAGATGTGACTGATGAAAAAGTGGAAGTTTTTAACCTGTTTGTATCAACTATTTTGTTTTCCAAATGGAGCAAATCACAGACAGAGGTCATGGTGATCAGAAAAGTTGGAAGCGGTGGGGGAGCCTGCACAGGAATAATCTAGCTTTAACCAAGGACTGTGGAACCCTAATCACTGATAAGAGCTGCCCAGCGGCTGAGGGGCTCCACTTCATATCGACGTGGCATTTTCTCTTTCAGCAAGCTCCCCACTCTGGCTGCCACTTATGGTAAGATAATTAATAGTCTTCTGAGTTATAGATTCTGAGCCAAAGGTAACAGTACATAATGGAAGTCAAGGTCACCCATAATACAGTAGCTTCTATAACAAAGGGGATTATTACTGCAATTACCGTCCTGTTGGAGAGATTTTATAAGTTTTCATCATTTTAATTCTTAAATCTTTCTCTTGCCAGTGAAGTTTAAACTCTCCG